ATCTCCCTTGTAAGCTCAGAAAGTATCTGACACATGACTGAATGGATAAATGGGAGTATCTTCCCCACTAAAATACTGAATTTGTAAAATCAGCATCCTCACACTGCTCATCTTTGCACCTCTCTCTGTGCTTAGCATATTGTTTTGAACAAAGTAGGTACTCAATAAATAATAAACAGATGTATTTGCATTCATCAAGATTGCTATTAAATAATCACAAATGTGTCACTTTCTACATGACATTTGGTGTCTTTTGAAAACAGAGACAAACTGATTATTTGATAACACAAGTATCTTACCAGATTGCAGGAGGAATGTGAGGAAAAATATGTACTGGACGAACACAAATGTTGCTGTGTCAAATTATTTAAAAATTAAAATCGTGTAGAATGTGTAACTGGTAGAGCATCAAAGGTGAAAGGACAACTCAACTTCTCTTGAAAAGAATCATCTGGAACATTTTGGTATTAGTCTTGACCCTAGGAAGTTAATGCTGATATTAATAATACTGATTTACCACATACCAGATGTCTTCTGAGTCCTTTAGCACATCAAATTTTCCCACTATCCCCATGAGAAAGGAATTAGTATCACTATTCCCACTCCGTATCTCCATTTGGAGATTAAGCTTCAAAAAGATAAAATAATATGCCTGAAATACAGAGCTAGTAGGGTTGGGAGAGCTGGATTCAAATTCAGATTTGTGGCTCTCAACATCCATGCTCTAATCTATTCTGCTCTGTAAGGTAAAATAAGGTTGACAGATTATGCTTTTAGTTGAATCACAGAGGGAACCATCTATTAGACTCCAGTCCCCTCATTTTACAAAAGATAAAACTGAGATCTAGACAGATGAAGGAACGTATCATCTTAGAATCTTATGACTGAAATGGACTTTAAAATTCACCCAAACACCCTTACACCCAACTATTAACTTAATAGCTGCTACTTTTTAATAGCTTTATTAAGATATGATTCACAAACTGTACAATTCACACATTGAAAATTACAATTCAATGTTTTAGAATATTCACAGAGTTGTGTGTGCTCATCTCCATCATCAAATTTTAGAATACTTTCATCACCCCAAAAAAGAAACCCTGTACCCATGGGCAGGAAATCCACATCCCATCCCCAGCCCCAGTACTAAGCAACCAATAATCTATCTCTATGGATTTACCTATTAGTAATATAAATGGAGTCATACAATATGTGGTCTTATGTGACTGCTTCTTTCATTTAGCCTAACATCAGCTATTGAATATCTTGACATCACCTCAAACTCATATGTGGCAGCAGATTAGTAGCAGCAACAAGGAATGGTAGGGGCAGCACATTTCCTCATTTAATTTCATTAACTCTACCCCATAAGCTATCCCAAAGTAAATATAAAATCTAAGTGAGAACAGCATGCTTGATATTTATTATGGGTTGAATTGTGATCCTTCCCCCAAAATTCATATGTTGATGTCCTAAATCTCAGTACTTCGGAAACTGAGTTTATTGGGAGATAGGGACTTTACAAAGGTAATAAAATTAAAACAGGGTCATTAGAATGAGCTTTAATCCAATGTAACTTCTTCATAAGAAGGGGAAGTTTGAAAACAAGACAGGCATACAGGGAAAGTGACGTAGAAGACTGGAGTTATCATACCACAAGACAAGGAACTACCAGAAGCTAGGAGAAGGGCCTGGAAAGATTCTCTCTCAGAGCTTTCAGAATGAAAAACCCTGCCAACACCTTGACTTAAGACTGCTAGCCTCCAGCTGTGAGATAATAAATTTGTTTGTTTAAACCACCCAATTTGTGGTCCTTTGTTATAGCAGTCCTAGTAAACTAATATAATATTTAAACACACCTTCAACACTAGTTTCCTAGTCCTTCCTCTCTCTGGCAAGGTTATTGCCACCCATAGCCATTTAGGCAAAATCTGAAAATCAAAATTTCTCTAAAATCAAATCCATGAGATATTCACCCAATCCTAGTCTTCTTCCAGAGCTCCCTATTTTAGACAATAGTACCACTATCCAAACAAATGGTTCTGCTGGAATTCTAGAAGTCATCATTAACTCCTCTTCTTGCCACAGGCACACACAGACACACAGACACACAGACACACACACACGCACACACACACATGCACACACACACGCGCGCACACACACACACACACACACACACACACACACACACACACACAGCTTTAGGATAAGGGTTTCACAATAGGATTCTAACAAGTCTTTGAAGACAAATAATTCCAATACTGTTTAAAATATTCCAGATCATTAAAGCTTCAACTTTTAAATTATTTCATAAAGTCAGCAAATTATTACCAGAGCCTAAACAAAATAAAAAGAAAATCTCAGAATCTCAGTAAAGAATATCTTTACAAACCCTAATTAAGACATTAGGCTGCTTAATTCATGGTAATTTAAAAGAATATTACATCAGGACCAAGTGCAAATTAGTCTGAGAATGAAAGTCTATTTCCTCTCAATCTACTGGTTCAGAATGTTATTGTACAAGAAAATCAGAATAGGCTAACATGATTGGCCTGTTAAAACCATATACTGCATATTACTCAGTAAAATAATCTACTCTCAATATTTTTAAATATGTTCCATGCTTTTTCTCAGAAATCTTTATAAATTTTTTGGCTTTGGATACCATGTTTTTTCCCTTTTTTAAGTACACCAATGTTTTGCCAAACCTTAATCTATTGAAATGCCCGTCTACACAAAGCCTCTTGCCAATATAGATGCAGAAAAGCCCTCACTGCCAATATTTAACAGAGGTGACTAGTTACATAATAGTCAAAAACAGCCTTTCCCACATATGAATTTGAATTTCAAAGACAAAAGTCCACTTACTGGAAAAGAATTCCCTGGAAAAATTCCTTTGGGTCTGAAATTCAACCCAACTCAATGTCACTGCTATGATTATCTACTGCTGTGTACCAAAACATCCCCTAAATAAAAGAATAACTTATTATTATCTTTTGCAGTTCCTTGGGTTGACTGGGCTCACCTGGTCAGGTCCCTCATTGGATTTCTTATGTGGTTGCAGTTGGTTGAACTTTGACCTCTGCTGATCTAAAGTCTTGCCTGGTTGCAAGTCCAAGGTGGCTCACTCACATGGCTGGCAATTGATGCAGGCTATTGGTAAGGAAGTCAGTGGGGATTGTTTACCAGGGCATTCTTTGTGACTCAGATAGACAATGCTGTCAAAGAGGTAAGCCCTGGGACTTTAAAAGGCACAGCAGCCAACAATGGGCTGGAGCAGCTCAATGTCAGCTCCATTATAGCCTCTATAGCATGAAAACACATTGTGGGAAGTCCTTTAAATTCCTGGAAGGATCCAATGACATTTAGAAGCCTGGTTCTCAGTCCTGTGGGGTGATCTCTGGAATACCACTTCTGACTTCCTTGGAGGCTCTTCAAGCATTTGGCTCTGAGTCAGACAAAAGTGGGTTCCCAGCTGAGTAGATTTGGCAACTTTCTAAACCACCTCTTAAAAATGGGGACAGCACCATCCAACTTACAATGAGTTTTAAGAAGATGAATGCATCAAGTAATTTGTAGACTGCCTGGTATACAGGGGGGCATTAATGAATAGTAATTACTATCATTACCATTAATATCATCATTTTTTTTGCACAGAAAAGGCTATATTTAAAAAAAGAAATTATTTTCATATTTTGAACATGTATAGAAATAAGATGTCATATTATGACCCTCTTTTATTTTACCATGGGTTCCATTTTAATATAAAAAGTTTAATGAGATTATTAACCTACATTCTCTCATCTTGTTTCCTGTCTGAACATATTTTCATTCTATGTATGATTAAAAAGAAATGTGTGTGTGTATGTGTGTGTGCACAGGGAAATATTCAAAGAATATATACAAAAATGTTAAGACTGATCATCTCTGGGTGATAAGATTAGTCACACCTTTATAATTTCCCTCACATTCCAAAGTATTTATAATAAGTATTACTTTTAAACTCAAAAGAAAAAGGAACATGGTATATTTCCATGGATGTCAGACTTCCTTGCCAGATTATAAAATATAAAACACAATAAAACTATTTTTCCTGCCACCATGCTGATCCTATAAACAATTTAAAACAGCATCTCTGTGGCTGCAATGGCTATTTATTTATTCACTCTCATTTTTTCATTTATAGTCAATAAGCAGACATCGAGACCTGCAAAGTCCTGGGCACTCTGAGACTCTAGAGATACTTAAATGAAATGAGAACCTTATCCCTCTTAAAATACCCCACTCATTCCTGAAGCTACCCTGCCTGTCAACTTTCTGGTGCAACCTTCCCTCCAACCCTCCCCACAGGTCTCTCCCTGTTTGCCCCCACAGTATAACCACATCTCTACCACAGCTCTCACTACACCTTGAGCTGCCCAGAGGAATGTGGGCATGTATTCTTGCCCCCAGGGGACCACATGCTCCTTGGAGGCAGGGACTGACCCCTCTCTACATTTGTCTTTACTCTGATTGATCTACTCGCACTCACAGGTGCCAGATAGTTGTCTGTTGAATTGATTGCTGGCCAACTCCCTCATTTTATAGTTAAAATAACTTACACCAAGGCAGGTTGTGACTTGCCTAGAGTCACAGAGCAGAGCCAGAGATAAAATCTCTGCTCCTTCCTCCTTCACAAGTGCTATATGCTCCCCAGCCAGTGCTACAGCCAGCTGGGACATGTAGGATATGTAGACAGTGGGATATGAGGAAAGAGGTCCACAAGTTTGTCCACACAATTAAAAACAAGTTCTCTAAGGACTCTTCACCACACTTGCCTTTCCCACTAAAAGCCCTACCCAGTGGGAAGGCCCATGGCGAGGGCTTGGCCTACTTAGGTGAGGTGGTTTTACAGCTGGAAATCACAATGTCACTAATACAGCTCGGAAGTGGCAGAGCAGAAAATCTGGGCTCTCAGCCAAGCAGACCTAGATTTGAATTGTATTTCTTCTGCTTACCAGCATTTAATCTTGGATAAGTCACTTCTCTCTTCTGAGTCTCAATTTTCTTGTCTGATCAATGGGAGTTATAGCATCTACCTGGAAAGTACAAAGTCAGTGACTAGTAAAGGACAGCTATTATGTATTAATGCTTTGAACAATGACATAGTGCCCTGGTTGCCCACAAATGACAGGAATGGGATTCAGCAGACATGCTGTAGAGAATAGCACAGTGTTGTGTGCATAGTGGCATGAGGATAGTAGGAGACTGGTAAATTGCAGTAATGGCCTCAGTTGTCTCCCCACCCTGTACCCAATCTCTTTGCCATGCAGCTCTGTGGAGCTTTCTCATGCTGAGCTAGCCCAGACATGTTCCTGTGGTGATGACAGAGGCAGAAGAGCAAAGCCCAGACTGCAAGGCCTTTTCAAGATATTACTGTGTCAGGTCTGCTAACCACCCACTGGCCAAATCAAGTAACCCAGTTGAATCCACACTTAAAGGGCCAGGCCGAAAAGTGGCATGCTAAAACAGCCTCTAAAAGCCAGAGGACTTGGATTCAAAGGCCCAGAGAAAAAGATGATGAAAACAGGGGCAGCCCCTGTGGCCCAGGACCTCCTGCCTTCCTGCCCAGCCAACTTCTACCAGTTCTGCACAACAGAAATTAAGGAAAGGGCATGGAACAGGGGGATGCCTGTGACTTGGTTAGGGGGCCCAGTTCTTCTCTCTCACTCACTGTGACTTGAACAGGCCCCTGCGTTGTATGTGTCCTCCATTTTTCCTTGAGTGGGGAGAGGTGAAGATGCAAAACCTTGCTCTAAACTCTTCCCGTATTTTGTTTTGTTTTGTTTTGTTCTCAAAGACTTCCAAGTAGCTCTCCACAGCCTACCTCTAAATCCCAAACTCCTTAGCTAAACATTCAAAGTTCCTCCTTTATCTGAGCACTTTCTACCTCCCAGTCCATCCACATTATGCTTTGTATTGGGGCTATTTCTGCAGGAATCTTATCTTAACTGCTCAATTGTAAGCTTCTTCAGGACAGGGATTGGGAGTTATCCAGCATTTTATAAGAGAACCTGGCTCATGTCACTTACATGTTTTTGACTGGGTGTTGAGATAAAGCATTCAACAACTCCAAGACACGGCTAATGTAGAAGAGCACTAGATGTGGAGTCAGAAAATCTGGTTTGAGGTATTGACTCTGCTTCTTGTTGTTGAGTGACCTTGAGATCATTCTTTGTTCTCCCCAAGTATAAATATTCTATATAGCAAATGGGAGTGATAAGATCAATTTCCTTGGTTTTTGTGGGGGGAAATGAAATTGCAAATAGAAAAGAAAAACATTCAGTACAATTCAGAAAGAAATATTACTAGAATTATTATTTCAACTAGAGCCTTCAAAGAAGCCAAGGCTGTCACTAGAGACCTATGGCAATTCAGAGTTTAATAGGAGTTTCTCCCCTATAAAGTCAGTTAAGTAAGTGCACTTTTGTAAAACTAAAGTCACATTTTATTTCATCACATTGTAGATCTTAAAAGTAGAGTTAACATCGTTGAGTAGAAGACTTCAGATATGTGAATGGCTTTGTTAGAAGTAAAATGTAAGAGGTACTAAGGCATCATTATATCTATTTTACAGCAAAAACACTATGAACCACAGAGGCCAAGTGATTTGTACATGACGAGGTGTGAATCAAACAGTATATGAAATATGTGAAGAGGGAGAAAATATGTGAAGTATACAAAACGCAGTATACAAAATACGTGAAGAGTATGCAGACTCTGGCAGATTCATTTACAAACACAGAGCTGTGTTTAGCTACTCAGATCATGAGAACACTTCCTGTGGCTGCTCCAGGCTGTCCAGATTCGTATCTCTCAAAGAGCGGCGTTGGCGTTGAAGAACAGGGAGCTTTCAGTAAGGGCAAAACCAGACAAGAATTTTCCACATGAAAACTTATCAGTAACTAACACAATTTGGTACCATTACAAAAATGAAGATTTTTTGTCTTTTTCTATCACAAAATCAAACTCACCAACAGTCCAAACCTGTCCCTCCACTGAAGACTCAGAGCTCAGGTGACTTCACAATGGGGAGATCCCCTTTCTCACCAGATGAGCCTTTCATTGCTCTGGGAAGAATTTGCAAGTGCTGAGAAAGGAGAAGGAGGGGCCTGGGTACCTTGGGAAGCTCCACCTTCTATCCTAGGGCACTTTCTTATTCAGGTTTTGCAGGAATCTCCTTGCAAGCCTCCGTTTCCTCCTGCAGCCTCCTCCTAAGTGCCCCTAAAATCCTTGCCAGTAAAAGAAGGGGTGGTCCTACATAGTCATCTGCTTAATGGCCATTCATTTAAAAACTAACTATGCTCCCAGTCATTGTGGTCTTGTAGCTTTGGGCTGAAGTCAGCCTTTCCAGGATACAAAAGATGTGGCTACCTTCACAAGGACAAGTGGGGACTTGAGCAGACTCTTTGGTTAGGAAACACTGCCTTTTGACTTAAGTCAGTCTCAAAGTCATTCATTCAATATTTACTTCAGTTTGGCTTCCTTTGAGAATCCCACAAAGAATATCCTAGTATTGATGGTAACTACACCTATAGTGGTAATGATAAAAAAAGAAAAGGATAATCTTGGGGAAGATTCCCATGGAGCACTGTTTAGGGATCTTTAGAGGTCATCTGACCAACAGCCTTTGCAGAAAGGAATGAAGAGGCCCTGAATGGTCAAGAAACTTGCCTAAGGTCATCCAGCTAGTTAGCAGCAGAGTAAACATGAAACCAAGTTCTCACAGACCTCTAGTCCAGCCCACTTTCCACTGCACCACACTGAACTCCTCAGCTACTTAGTGAATCCCAGCAAGGATTGTTGGGTCTCATAAGCCACTTCCTTGGGCTTGACCTGAGGGGAAAGAAGTGAGTAGGATGCAATTTCCACTTGGAATGTTCTCTCAGTTTACACAGACACACAGTCATGAAACAAAGACAAAAGTAACTCATTGGAATAAGTATGTCAATGGAGGCTTGCCCAAGATGTTAGGGAGAACAGGAGAGGAAACTCCCTCTGGAGAGACAGAGTTGAAAAGACCTCTCCAAAAAAATGACAGTTAAACTGACTCTCAAAGAAAGAATATAATGTGATAAGAAAATGAAAGAATATGTTCAAAACCCAGTCATGTTTTGAGAACCCTGAGAAGGATCTAGATCCTATGTCAGCTGTCTCTAGAGGACAGAATGGTAGAAGATGCTAGAAAACAGGCCAGAATTGGATCCCGGACGACTTGTACATCATGATAAAGGACAGGGATTTTACCTAGTAAGCAATGAGAAGCATACTAGTTTTCTAGGGCTCCTGTAACAATGTACCACAAACTGCGTGGCCTAAACAACAGAAATTTATTGTCTCATCATTCTGGAAGCTGGAAGTCCGAGATCCAGGTCTACATAAAATTGAATCCTTCTGAGGGCTATAAAAAAGAACCTGTGCCTTGTCTCTCTCCTGGCTTCTGGTGGCTTAACAGCAATCCAAGTGCAGACAGGAAGAAGGCAGTTGGAAGTACAAGAAAGAATGGGATTTTCTTGCCACAACTATTTTGAAGGACCTTCTAAGTACATGGCAGTCCGCTGGAGTTTATGATACAAATGTGAGTTAGAGTAGAGAGTCATGGTTACATAATGAACCCCCCCCAAACCTGTTTCCTTCTCTATGTGGAAAATCCCTGATTTTGTTCATGTTAATCTTCCTATATGCTTAAGATGTTCCAATCTAGGCCCAAGGAATGAATACCGCTCCAAGCCAAAAAAGGAGTTTTGACAGGTCTATTCCTTTTGACAGGTCTTGACTTAGTCATGGCCATGTGCTGCAATCCTGACATATGAGGCCCAAAGGGGAAGTCCACTGGGGCATTTGTAAAAGGTTTTCCTTCCTGATAAAAAGAGATAGGTGCAAAGAAACTTGTTTGTGACTTACTTGTGTGAGAATGTGAGGGCTAGCAGCAGCTATCTTGACATAATGAGAGGACATGTCCTGGATGAATGCAACAGCTGTAGATGGCAAAGAGGAGTGATAGGAGATCCCCTCTCTTACCAAATGAGACTTTTATTGCTCTGGGGAGAAATTGCAAGTGCTGAAAAAGGAGAAGGAGGGGCCTGGGTACATTGGGAAGCTTCGCCTTTCATCCTAGGGCACCTTCCCATTCAGGTTTTGCAGGTACTGTTCCTTTGTCCATCTACCCCGAAAATAGACTTCAGGTAAACCATTGTCTTTAAGAAGAGTGCCATGGTTACCCAATGTATTAATCAGGGTTCTCCAGAGAAACAGAACCAATAGGATTTATGTAGAGAGGAAGAGATTTATTATGAAGAATTGGTGCATATGATTATGGAGGCTGAGAAGTCCCAAGATCAGCCATTAACAAACTGGAGACCCGGAAAAGCTGGTGGTATGATTCCAGTCCAAGTCCAAAGGCCTGAGAACCAGGAAAGCTGATGGTGTAAATCCCAGTTGAGGGTAGGTGAAGACTAATATCTCAGCTCAAATAAGCAGGCAGGAAGCAAAAATGGGTAAATTCCTTCTTCCTCTGCCTTTTTGTTCTACTCAGGCTCTCAATGATGTCCACTCACACTGGGAGGGAAAACTGCTGAGTCCATCAATTTAAATGCTAATGTTTTCCAGAAACACCCTCACAGCCACACCCAGAAATAATGCTTAACCTGGGTACCCCTTGACCCAGTCAAGTTGACATATAAAAACAGCCATCACACCTGGATTCTTTGGAATATATTCTCCATTACATGATCTGTTTAGTCATATTACTGTGACTAATACAGCAATACTAGCCATAGATGCTTTAGCCACAAGACCCTCAACTTTGCAAGATCATACTTCAGGAACTCTTTCTCTTAGTCTTGGTTGCTTGCTAACTATTCAATAGGTGAAGGATTTTATCTTTCCCTGAGGTTTTGAGTTAGAAAGAAGAAGCCAGCATCCTAAAACCTCCATCTGAGTACTGAATGAAGAGTCAGAGTCATGCTTTAATAAAGAACTGCTAATCATCTCACCTGCCCATGGAAGCATGGATAAAATACACTGTCAGTACTTTTAACTCTTTGTCTCCATTTGCCCTCTATATAAGGCTGCTATTTTCCCTGTGGTCCATGACCCCCTCTCATGGGACATGTTTCAGGCCTGAGTTTTCCAACATGTGTCATCAGTTGTGTTCCACAAGGCATCAATAGGTATTTTATACCACAAATAAAGTAGAAATAAGGAGCTTCTATTGTTTTATACACTTGGAAAACCTTATACAGGTTTATGTCTATATTTATTTACCTCTAGACACACCAGAGACTCTAATAATAAACTAATGTGTTAATACATGTAAACTACTGTAAATGGTACCTGGCACATAGTAAGTGCTCATTAAATGTTAGCTGTTTTATCAGTCAGGATAGGCCAGGATATGTTTCTGTGACAAACACCCTCCAAATCTCAGTGGCTTACAAGAACAAAAAGTTACCTCTTGCTCATCCTATTTGTCCATCACATGTTGGTGTTGGTGTTGGAGTTGGGGATTCATTTAGGGAATGTCACCAGACATAGAGGCAGAGAGAAAATCAAACTGAAGGGGTGAGTGCTTCCAATTCCTCATATCATTTCTACTCACCTTTCATTGGCCTAGCAAATCATGTGTCTGTACCTAATTCAATAGCAGGGGAAGTTCATTCTCTGAGGATGCCCAGAAGTGGAGGAAGACTGGGTACTGATGAGTGGTAGTAAGGCTATGTCAACAATTATCTATATGTCTATTTTCATTATTACCATTATTTTTATGCCTATTATTATTATTCCTACAACATGTCTCTCCAAGAATCGAGTTACACATTTTCAAAATTACTCAACAAAAGAATCGTTTTCTCTTAGAACACCAATTGATAAGGAACATAGCTTGAATAACTCTCTTCTCTATAATCTCAGAATGATTCCCTCTCTATTCTATCCCTCCAACACTTGGTTTATACTTGTCTCACCTATTCGGTCCTGAATTCTTTGCTCTGTGCCCTGACTTACAGTCTCTGATTTACAAGTCCTTAATCCTCTCCTCTCCTCTTGGCACTTTGGGTCTTTGCCCACCAATCCCTTGTCAACCTTGCCTTTGTTCCACCTCAGCACTCATTCTGTTCTCTGGTCTCATTCCCATCTTCTCTCAGCACCTCCCACTCTGCCCCACACATGCCTCCCCACTTTAGCAAGGCCTGTCTCAAACTTGAAAGAAAAAAAGAGAGAAATTTGAACAATCATCCAGCAGTAAAGCTTTTGTTGCTATGTGTACCAACTGAGGATCACACAGAGAAAATCCAACTTATCTTCAAACAAATTTCAGCTTCCAGCAATTTTGTGTAATAATAACTGGGTCTCCATAGGGTAAGGAAAGAGAGAGTTTGTGCCCCTCATTTCCCCTTTGCAGTTGGCTATTCTGGGTGGAAAAGTTGGAAGAAATGACTATAATGGCAGGATTGCTGACCCATTTAAAGCTTCTATTATGAAACCGAGTTGCATAAGCTGTAAAAGAAAATAAGTTATATTCTCAGGAACAAATTCTAGTGAATCAGCTCATTTTAGCCTCACATCTTCATCTGTCTCTGAAGTGGCTTATTTAAATTTTAATAGAAAATGTTCGAAGTGGGTCTCAAATGGAGGGAATGAAAATAACACTGTTTATCCCCAAGATAAAATTGTGTCAGGAGCAAAAAAAAAAGAGAAAAATACGATGCTAATTTTTTGAAAACAAACCTCCTATGTCCCACTTTGTAGAGACTGGACAAAGCAATATAAAGTCTATTGTACTGAACAAAAGCCACGATGGTACATTTAGAGACTCACTGTCCCTTTTTATTTGGCTTTAAAAAAAGTCATTCAAAGAAGAAAAGTGCCCTTGGGGGAAAATGAAAAAAGCTTGCAAAACAAAATTTTGCCACCATCATGGGCTGGTTACAGCGGAAAAGGAATAGGAAATAGCTTGGGGTAGCAAGAAGGTCTTTCATGGGCTTGGCAGTAAAAGATCTGGGTTCCAATACCATCTTTGCCACTTACCAGCTGTAAAACATTGGACAAATGAATGAACAGTGCCAGAGTGT